CAAACAGGTAAGATTCATGTTTTATCCACTCATTAGCAAATCCTGTTGCCACTTTCAAGAGTACAGTCAGTTTTGCTACAAAGCTTGTATTGAAAATGTGAATTTGTTCCAACACCACTGACATATTAGGGAACAATTTGAGTATAAGGAGAATTTTGCTTTTGCCTATACCAGATTTTATCAGTGAGAACACTTGATCAATGTAGACAACAGTACTTGGGTGTACTCAGTCATGCAGGAATATACAAAATGCACATACCTTAAACATCTACCTATAACTCATGTTTCAAGTCATACCTATCCACATCTGGTGTTACAACTTTCCCTCTGATTTCAGACATTGTTTCTTCCACCACTTCACAATAACTTACAAACTGCCTTTCTTTTGATACCCACTTCCACAAGCAAATGGCACATTTTTTTCAAGGTAAAATGCTGTATTTATTATAGCATTTATGTATTTCTTAAACTCTTAATGAGTATTTTGCACTGTCTCTACTAAAAATACAATTAGCTTGGTGTGGTAGCAGATGCCTGTAATCTCAGCTACTTGGGAGGCTGAGGCAGGAAAATTGTTTGAACTTGGGAAGTGGAGGTTGCAGTGAGCCAAGACTGCGCCACTGCACTTCAGCCTGAGCGACAAGAGCAAAACTCCGCCTCAAAAAAAAAAAAAAGAAAAAAGAAAAAATTAGGTTCTTATCTTTTCAAAAAGTGTGCCATTAATGAAGTTTTTTTAAAATTGACACAAAATTGTACATTTTTATGAGGTACAGTGTGGTATCTCCATACATGTATACATTGTGTAAAAATCAAATCAGGGCATTTGGCATATCACCTCAAACTTTTATGACTTCTTTGTGCTGAGAACATTTCAAATCCTTTCTTCTAGCTGTTCTGAAATATAGAATATTGTTAACCATAGTCACCCTACTGTGCAAGAAAACACCAGAACTTACTATTCTTCCTATCTGCAACTTTGTACAGATTGATCAATGTCTCCCTCATCCCTCTCTGCCCCCACCAACTATTCTCTCTACATCTATGAGATAAACATCTTTAGCACGTGAATGAGATCATACAATATTTCTCTTTCTGTGACCAGCTTATTCCACTTAACATAATGCTCTGCAGGTTCATCTATGTTGCCACAAATGACAAGATTTCAGATTTTTATGGCTGAATGGTATTCCAGTGTGTATATATCCCACACTTTATCCATTCATCTGTTGAAGAAACTTAGGTTGAATCCATATCTTGGCTATGGTGAATGGTGCTGCAATAAATATTGGAGTGTAAATATATGTCTCTCTTTGACATAATGACTTCATTTCCTTTGGATAATTATCCATAAAGGGATTAGTGGATCATAAGATAGTTCTATTTTTAATTTCTGAATAACTGCCATACTGTTTTCCATAGAGGCTATACTAATTTACATTCCAACCAATAGTGTATGAGGTTCCCGTTCTTCACATCAAGTTTTTCAGTTAAGTTATGCCATGAACCTCATTTTCTCCATAAACACCATGATTTCTATTGCACAATTTTGCATAGGACAGTTATTTTTAGTAATGCATATGTCACACAGAAGAACTGACACCACATTAGTGCCACTCTACAAAAAGCTAATCTAAAATGACAGCCATACCTTAATATCCCAAGATCTCTTCTCCCTTGCTGTTGACGGATCAATTCTAGGAAAGGATTTTAGTTGGTACACATGACTAACAAAAAGCCTGCAATTTGATGTGTTAAGGAACAGTACTAGTTATCTAGCCAAATCCTTTCAATTCTTTCCTGCATCCACAATCTTAGTAAAAGATAAATTCATATTTTCAATTCTAAGTCTGTGGTTTTATTTCCAACATCAGCAGTATATATCATACAGCTGCTTTTTAAAGTGACTTTGTGCCTTATTTTTCATGAGAGTGATACTAAGGTGCAAAATGTTTTGTGTTAATGGCAGTGCTGATAAGAAAAAAAGCCCACAGTCTAAGCAAAAGTAGATGCAATTAACTGTTAGATCTGCCTCTAGCAGTGTTAGGTTTCAGGTTTATAACTATCAAAATTACTATTATTGAGATTATTCAGGAAAAATAACTGTTATTGACAACATGAAACCCTGTGGTTCCAACTCCCTGTTGCTCCTCCTTATTTTTAGAGCATGCTTTTTAACAATAGGATGATTCCTTAGAAGGCAGCTACTGCTTTAGAGGGGAAGAGACAAACTTATTTGTGTTACTAATAGTTAAAATTAAAGTCCTCCTTTGGAATTTTTAGCATGAATTTATCACTCAAACATAAATTAAAAAAAAAAATTTCTTTTCCTCCCCAAGTTCTTTAACTCATTTGTTTTCCAAAATGACTGTTTTCAGTGGTTTGTTTTTTTGCTTTTGTTTTGAGATAGAGTTTCACTCTTGCTGCCCAGGCTGGAGTGCAATGGCGATATCTCGGCTCACCGCAAATATCGCTCCACCTCCTAGGTTCAAGTGATTCTCCTAACTCAGGAGATTCTGGGATTACAGGCATGTAGCTGGGATTATAGGAATGCACCACCACACCTGGCTAATTTTGTATTTTTAGTAGAGACAGAGTTTCTCCATGTTGGTCAGGTTGGTCTCAAACTCCTGACCTCAGGTGATCCACCCACCTCAGCTTCCCAAAGTGCTGGGATTACAGGTGTGAGCCACTGTATGTGGCTAAAAAAAATTTTTTTTATTACTTTATAATCAGTTCTACTTTTAGTCTACTTTTAATTTTTATTTATTTAATTATCTTTTTGTAGAGACAGGGTTTTGCGCTGCTGCCCAGGCTGGTCTTAAACTCCTGGGCTCAAGTGATCCTCCTATCTCAGCCTCCTAAAGTGCTATGATTACAGGCATGAGTCACCACGCCTAGCCCAGTTCTGTTTTTTAAACTAAACTTTTTTCCCTTTAGTTTTGACTTGTAATGCCTTCGGGGCAGTGCCAATCTAATAGGCTGTATTCTAAGTGGAGCTACAATGTGGGAGGGCTTTGAACTAACTATTACACACTATTTCAGAGAGGCAGGATGACACAGAGACTAGAGTGTCAGTCCAGAGTCTAAGATACCTTAGTCAAAACACTTAATATTTCACACCTCGATTTCCTCATCTGAAAAAAAAAAAAAAAGAGAGAGAGAGAGAACAGAACCAACCTCCTTCCTGCCCCTAAAACAAAAAAAGACAAAAACAGTATCTACACCTCATGGGGCTGCTGTGCGAATCAGGTGAGAAAACAGAAGTCTGACACTTTACAGCTCAATATATAGTACTAGTCAGCTATTACTGCTATTATTATAGGCAAACCTCTTATTTGCCCTGTACATCAAATGGGGAAGATGCTGGTGACCACTGTACTGTACCTTTTGGGTCTGGTACAGGGACTAACAGGGAAGAGGCATCCAAATAAGCATAAAAATCCATGCTAGACACTGGAAAGGTTGTCAAGATAAAGCAAGTGTATTTATTATATTGAGTTTTATTGGCAAATTAGGTTTCTTAAAAAATAAAATAATATTTCACATGCAGTAAGACTCCTGTATGTGGTGGAGGATGGGTTTTCCATGACCTTTTACCTCAAAAATATATGACACCTGCTATGGAGGTCGACGAAGAGTATTCTATTATTACATTATCATTGATAAACCCAAGATAATGACAGAAGATGGGCAGCATAACCTTTATACAAATAGTTTTTTTTACCTTGTATTATCATTCATTCTAGATACACAGATTTAAGTACCTTGAAGTACTTTATTATACTAGATGGTCATAATAAAGGCCTAAAATATAACCGAAATCCTATATATTGATATATTCTGATGTGTTGTTAATAGTAGGAATAAACTTGGGAGTTGGTAGAGGCTGAGTGATGACCAAATTTTAATTCTGGGTAATCATCAGCTCATGTTTTTCTAAACGATTTCCATTTATTACCACCACCACCGTCCAAAAAAAAATCAATAATGGTGAAAGAGACACTATGTACATTAATAGTTTTTCCATTTGCATATTTATATACCCTTATGTCAACAAAAACTATTAACATTTTTAACACAGAAACTTGATTATTCAAGGTTTTCAGTAAAACTGATAAATTTTTTAGCTTTCTGGTTATCGGAAATAATGTCTTAACTCTTACAATACTCAATGAGTAATGTACTCACAGATCTATATAACCACCCACATTCAAGTCAATAATTTTTAAATATTTTAAATCTTTTTTTTTGTTGAGATAGAATCTTGCTCTGTCACTCAGGCTGGAGTGCAGTGGCACAATCTCAGCTCACTGCAACCTCTGCCTCCCAGGTTCAAGCGATTCTCCTGCCTCAGACTCCAGAATAGCTGGGATTACAGGCATGCGCCACAAGGCCCAGCTAATTTTTGTATTTTTAGTAGAGACGGGGTTTCACCATGTTGGTCAGTCTGGTCTTGAACTCCTGACCTCATGATCTGCCCACCTCTGCCTCCTAAAGTCCTGGGATTACAGGCGTGAACCACTGCACCTGGCCTCAAGTGAATAATTTTTACATCTTTGCAAGGGTGTAATAAAAGATTAGTTAGAAAAGAGGTATGCCATAAAGTTGCTACATATCAGTTTTTCAAATAATGCAACAACATAAAATGCTTTGATGTTGTAAATTAAACATACAATTCACTGATGCAAATAAGTGCAAAATGCCCAAACACAAGCATCATATATTTGCTAATTAAAACAGCATCAAAAGAACAAAAATAAAAATTAGATAAGTACTTAAAAAAAATAAAATCCCCTTTTGAAAATAAAAATCTTTTTTTTTTTTTAAATTAGATAGGATCTCACTCTATCACCTAGGCTAGAGTTACATGGCACAATCTTGGCTCACTGCAACTTTCACCTCCCAGGCTCGAGTGATCCTCCTACTTCAGTCTTCCAAGCAGCTGAGATCATAGGCTCACACTACCATGCCTGGCTAATTATTTTGCCTTTTTTTTGTAGAGATACGGTTTTACCATATTGCACAGTCTGGTCTTGAACTTCTGGGCTCAAGTTATCTGCATGCTTTGGTCTCCCAAAGTTCTGGGATTATAGGTGAGAGTCGCCTCGCTCAGCCATATGTTTCAATTCTAAGGTAAGCACAAGCTTTGTTTAAAGCTCAAACACTTCTTTCAATTACAGTGAATTGGTACCACACTAGATCTCAGACTTGTATATTTCTCAGGCAAGTAGAAATAGCAGTGTTTGAATAAGAGTCTTAACTCTGAAGAATGAGGTAAGATAAGCAAACAGTAAACAACATATAAAGTCACATGGCTGTGTCAGGGAAAACCAGAGCTGTACAGTATTTAAAGTGGTAAAAACAAATTTTATTCAAGACTTTTCCAATAGGGGAAAAGAGATATGAGTACAGAACTGGGCTCAACTTTGAATACACCATTGGCACTGGGAACTTAGAGCCAAGGATGGGAACACAGAGTCAGTGGATGGAAAATTACTAAGAGGTGCCATTAAGGGTAAGGGGAGATTCTGGCTAAAGTGACCTAACAGGATTCTTGTAGACAGGAGAGGGTGATCAGAAATCACCTGGGGGATGGAGGAAGAAGAACCTGATTAGCTATGGAGGGTGATCAGATACTGAAGGGCGGATGAGGGGGTTGTCGTTAAAGCAACTCAGCAGGACTCTTACTAAAACTGAACAATGCAGGCATGAACATGAAGTAAAAAAGTCAAGGCTTATTGGAGCAGAAGGTTCTTTCAAAGGAGTCTGAGTAAGTTTAGTCAATGAGGGACGCTTTGTCACCAGTTAGTAGGGAACTAAGTCCCTGCATTCTCTGTACCTCTATTACACCCATCTGCCCACGTGTGCTTTGCAAAAATTAAAGATTTAAATCATTCTTTAAATTATGATAACTTTGTTTTTACGCCAGAGTTTTGCTCTGTTGTCCAACCTGGACTGCAGTGGCACAACTACAGCTCACTGCAGCGTGGACCTCCTGGGCTCAGGTGATTCTCCAACCTCAGCCTCCTGAGTAGCTGCGACTACAGGCATGTGCTGCCATGCCCTACTAATTTTTAAACTATTTTTTTTTGTAGAGATGGGGTTTTGCCATGTTGGTCAGGCTGGTCTCAAACTTCTGGGCTCAAGTAAACTGCCTGCCTTGGACTCCCAAAGTGCTGGGATTACAGGGATGAGCCACACTGGCTCAAATCAAATATGCTCAGCCGATAACTTATTTTATGAACTCATTTTTCTTCACTAAAACCCCAAGAATCTTGAGTCCAAAATAAGCTTGGTGAGAAGTATGCACTACTTAATATGGCACAGGCCAGCAGTTCTGAAACTACTGTATGGGTTCTCTTCAGTGGAACAAAAAATGTCAGCAACCCCCAGTGATGACTTAAATTAGTTCTGCCATGTTACTTAAAGACCTACAAATACCAAACTAGTGTAAATGCTTATGCTTACAGCCCTTAACTTTAAAATTGAAATAAATTTTTAAATAAAAACAAAATTCAAATTAATAATATTAATTTGTAGTTTTACTAAAACTAAATTGCTGACATTTGGTTTACTGTATAAAGCTTGTAGCCTCAGAGCCAGTTCCATAATTAATTTGTTTCTGTATTCGGACTTCAATATACTAGTAATACGAAGAATACCTGTTCAGTTACCTAAAACATTAACTTTGAGGTAGAGTCAGGACATTTCAGCTTCACAATTAACCAAAATTCTGCAAACAGTAATCTAAGAATGACAATTTATTTAAATAAAGTATCAGTCAATCATTTTATAAAACTATCTTGCTTACGTGAAAGTTAATAATGTAGCATTGTTAATTAAAATTTGCACCAAATGAATTACCAAATATCTGAAACTTAACTGGCACTTGAAATAGAAACATTTTTCCTTGCATTAACTGTTATACTGTTAGTGATCTGCTGCTCCTATACAGACAAAAAGAGAATTTAATATATCTGCTTGAATGGTACAAGCGTTTCTGAGTTCAGAATTCCCCTTAATTACCAACTATTACCTGGTAACCCAACTCAATCAGCATGTGTCTCTATTCAAGCTACTGTGAAACCTTCATTTGTACAGAATATAAGTATCATTTGGCTTCAGCTGGCATGAATGCAACTGTAAATAAGATAGTAATGCTAATGGAACACTAGATTCACACGGCAAGTTTCAGTTATAAATTGGTTTTTAAGATGATATGGAATAATACTCATATAACTTTAAGGTTATCATCAAAATGTATACTAAAACTTTTAATATATATAATACATATATATAAATATATATAATTCTCAGCATCCTAAGAATATATATGTGGATCCCTAATAAATGAACAAAGAAACCAAACAATGAGAATAATGAAGGATGTGGGGTTAAGCTAAATGACATAGAATGAGGATTAACGAATAAAGCCAGTGCCTTTAAAATGAGAAGTGAAGTAAGAGAGGTCATTGCAGGCACGGAATGTCTCCCAATCTGAACAATGTGTACTGGGAAGGAGAGAGAAATAACACTGTAGTGAGGGAACCACCAGGCAGAATATTGGAGATGGTTGGAATTAGGAAGCCATTAAATATTTTAGATAAACTAGCCCTGAAAATAAAACTTCTGGCAAGAGTGAACTTAAAGAGGGAGCAAAAAAGGCATGTATCATTCAATAAATATTAGTTTAATAAATGACTGGACTATTTGGTTCTAAACCAAGTAACATGGCAGAAAATATAAAGAACACTAAAAGGAGACAAGAAAAATTGAAGCCAACTGTCTATAAAAAATCATGTGGAGAAACAAACAGAAGACTTTACTCTCAAATGTTTTAGAAATTTTAGTACTGCTTTAATTCTGGTGTCATATCAGAAAATTAAACTATCTTCCATGCTTAAAAACACAGAAAGTCGACTGAGCACAGTGGCTCACACCTGTAATCCCAGTACTTTGGGTGGCCGAGGCAGGTGGATCACCTGAGGTCATGAGTTCGAGACCAGTTCGAGATTAACCAATATGGTGAAATCCCCAGTCTCTACTAAAAATACAAAAAATTAGTTGGGCGTGGTGGTTGGTGCCTGTAATCCCAGTTACTCAGGAGGCTGAGGCGGGAGAATGGCTTGAACCTGGGTGGCAGAGGTTGTAGTGAGCCAAGACCATGCCATTGTACTTTAGCCTGGGCAACAAGAGTGAAACAACATCTCAAAATCAAAAAAAGAACCAAAACCCAAACAAAAAAACACACAGAAAGTTCAAGCGAACTTAAGGTTTCTGTAATAGTTTGGTACAACAATAATGAATATAGTTAGTGAATAACAATAATAATAACCACAGTGAATATTTATATATTTTACAACCACAGCAGGTTATAACATTTCTTCCTTTTCGTGTGTTAATAACAAAGAGGAATTTCTTTGTATCGCTACTTATGATTCAATAATAACCTTACACCTTAGATTTTTGTTTTTAGAAGTATTAGTTCACCAAATGGTGAATCTTACACCTTAGATTTTTGTTTTTAGCAGGATCTGTTCACCTAAACAAGTGATCTCAAAGACAAATGTATGACAGCTATCTTAATTTTTGCTTTCACAAAGGAATAGTGCATACCCATTTTAGATAAAACACAATAACAATTTTTAGGAAAAGAATTTTAAAAGGCGAAGAAAAACCCCATACATCTTTTTCCTAAAAAAGTTTTAAAAAGTTCTTGCTGAAGTCTAAAAGTAGACTTCTCCTACCAAGGATCAGGAGCTCTGAACTACCTTAGAAGTATAGTTTGACATCACACAGAAAGGACAAACTGATTGACCCATTTGCAACATAAAATCATGTTCCTAAGAAAATTATCTTAATCAACTACAAAAACTAAAAACTCACCATTATTTTGCCAAGAGTCTTCGCCATAAGAATTTTCCTTTTTCACAAGACTGCAAAAGCCATTAACCCACCTACTGGTAATTACTCAGGCTTGATTCCTTCACCAACTTGTGTCAAAAGTGTAATAATAGTTATCTATTTACCACATGTTGAGACTATTGTATAAAATTGACTCCATTCACTTACATATAACGGTGAAAAGTTTTATAATTTACAACAGCTCAACCTTTTCCCACATATTGCTACTTTATCATATAAAGTCCATTTTTTAAAGGGACTAAAAATAGCTACAAAATCAAGTAAGAATTTAGTTGTTAAGCCTGAACTGCCTCTAGATCTTTATGGAGTTTCACTTCAGGAATTACAAAATCTAGGCTAAATTATCTATATTATTCCCTTGTCTAAAAGAAAGATCATCCATATGTCATCTCATTTGGATGAAAGCCTTTAATTTATTAAAATAATGATAAAAAGTTGTTCTTTAATTCTATGAGGGCATTAGTGAACTAAGTTCTGTTTGGTAGGCCATTTGAAAGTAGCTCTTTTGGCTATCAAGCTATGGTTGACATCTGATATACTCAATCAATCACTGTTACTTAGTTAAGTCCCAGGAGTTTCTGAGAAGATCTGAAATAATAACTTATTTGTGGAGTATTTTAATGTGTCTGCTTCTAAATACATCATATGGATTAACTGCCCACTTGTCAGTAGAATGCTTCTCACTGAACATTATGGGTAAGTGGGATTTTCAAAAGACTTTTCCACTGGAAGCTTTAGGAATGTAACGCTGAGGTTATAATGCAGTTTTATGGAAAAAATTATATATTCCTCTATGTAACTGTCAGCTTCATTTAACAGTTTTCAGAACCAAATTTACAAAAGACAGTAACTATAAAAGTTGTTTGTTAATTTGAGGTTGGCTTTTTTCCAGTATTTTGCAGTACATTTAATAGAATTTAGCATCTATGTCTGTGGCTTCCAGGGCCATCTTTTTTCTTTTTATAGAAGGCTCTCTGTGCAGATAAAATTTCTAGGGACCAAGATCATTTATGTTTGACTACATAGGAGACACACTGATCTTAAAAGGGTGGATGACAAATGCACACACTCTCACTAACTAGGAAACTTGTACAAGCAAACCAAATTATCAGAAGACACAGGTAGAAGATAAGTGGCTGTCTCTGGGCAGCAGGACAGGGAGATAGGGAGAAGTGGGGCTACCGTATAGTAGTACTAAAATACTACTGATCTCATCAATGAATTGATATTAATTCACAGCACTGAAGTTTTTAAACCTGAGTGCAGGTATTACCATGATGCAATAAAACTGAATTTGATAAATATCTAAACCAAAACCAGCTGCTGAACATCCATTATATGTAAAACATTGTGCTAGAGGGTCAGGGAGGGCTGAA